TTTTTTTTTTTTTTTTTTTTTTACCAGTATGCTCAATAAACTGAACATTAACTTCACCAAATTTATCGCTTCTAAAACGTCCTCTCAACCACCGCGTTTACACAACGTATTTCCAGCTTTTGAGTGAGAAACAGTGGAATACAAGATGAAAATCTGTTCGAGGATGGGATGGTTCTGATTAAAGCATTCCCGCATGTTACAATGGCCCCATTACAGTCCAGACCTAAATCCAAGAACATGGCAAATCTTAAGGTTTACAGTGACTACAAGCTCCCCCAAAAATGCAGCTGTAATTGCAGAAAATTTAACCTCTACAAAGTATTGACTCAGAACAATGCACAAACATTTCATAATAATTTGTTTCAGACGTAATAGCTTCCTTTCATTTCACAATTAAAGTGTTGACGTAATAACATTTATTGAAAACTATGTCGTTATTGTGACAAAATCTAAAGAATTTTAAATGGCATGAATACTTTTAGAATTGTCACGACTTGTATTCAATTTTTAAGGCAACAGAAACTTAAAAAAAATCCACCAGAATTACTGATATGTGTCACACAGATCTCATAGCTGAACTTTGAGACATCTGAATCGATTGAATAATTAAAATTATTCTAAGCATAATTTAATCTTTGCAGAAGTGCAGTATTTCCATTATTATCCATTGATATTATCATAAAAAGTGCCTCTTGATGTTTTGTAGTTTCCCTTATCTGCCACAAGATGTTGCTGACAGTCCAAAGACCACGTAGTATCATTGCAGTCTTGCTCAGAATGGCAATTAGGATTAAGAAAAAAGAAGAAATGGGCCATAAGGAATATGTGTACCTTGCTGGTTTCAAGCTAATTTATTGCCAAAAAGAACCAGTATACAGTGCAGATGGTCACTACGTCTTACACAGTAAATAAAAAGTCACATCACAGATTCTGTTGCAGTTTCTTTGAGCTTATAGAGTTTATTTACATATTAATCTTGTTTTTTATTCCCGTACTCATAGTTCATTTTTTTTTTTTTCACATGCTCATGTGTATTTATTATGTAAGCAATCTGAATAAAATTTACACACGAGATTATGTATTTGCACACTTATTTAAATGGTAATCTATATTTAGAAAAGCAGATTTGTAATCTAGGTTGCCTATTATTAATTAAAAACATCCAGTCAGTGTTATGTTTGCATGCAAATGTGAGCGTGTGACAAAAAAAGTTAATGCATTTGATTTGCTGTTTCTAATTCATGTTTAATGCCGTGCACCTTCGAGGACTGATGAGAACTCAGTGTTCCAGCTGAGCGCAGGCTGCATTCGTAGCTGAATTCAATGACACTGAGCAAACGGTGGTCTCGTGTTGTCCACTCAAATTCTCACTTGCAACCTTCTTCCATAATCATGTTTGTATCTCAAGCGCTGAATCAAACTGGTTTATTTGTGACGCATTTCCAAAAGCATCCTAAACTCAGAAATGTTTTTTTTTTTTTTTTTTTTTTTTTTAATTACAAAGATTCTTGTAGTTTAAAAAGAAAAAAGTTGAAGAAAACAGCTTGAGTTTGCAGATGTATACAGCGCCTTACAGATTATTCATACTCTTTGAACTCTATATTGGTTTTTATGGAGCGACTTGACTTAATTGTAGTATGTTAGGATGATTTGCTAGGGGTGTCC